GAAGTCGGACGCTTAACCGACCAAGCCACCCAGGCGCCCCCAGTCTTGCCTCTCCTTTGTGGTACTTATTGGAGGTATAATTTAAGTTCGTGTGATTTGATAGTAAGTAGACTGTAAGCTCTGTCAGAGCATAGTGCCCTTGTCAGTTTTTTTATACCTTTGTATTCCCAGTGTCCAACAAAGTTCTTGGTTCATAGTAGATGTTCAATAAATACCTATATGAGCTTTTGAAGCTCTTATAGTCCATGAAAAGTAGACTAATTTCCTAAAACATTGTTACAAACTAATTGTGCTGATAGAATCCCTTACACCATCTTAGAAATAAACTCTCTACAAACTTTTATCCACCTTTGAAAAGAAGATTTTCTTTTTCAATGTTGTGTCTCTAAAGCATTTTATCTCTTCTGATTAGGTGGACATACAAGGTATGTTCTTTTATTCAGTATAGTCTTCCCCTTTCAGATAGATGGACATCAATACTGATGTTGTTCTCTTTTTGTAGATTTCCACCAGTGGAGTATCTTAGTCTATTATAGGGAACAAAATTTTTCTTGTCTTCTTTTAAGAAATCATAGAGGGAGGGGCACCTGGGTGGCTCAGTCAGTTAAGCGTCCAACTTCAGCTCCGGTCATGATCTCACAGCCCATGAGTTTAAGCCCCGTTGGGCCTTGTGCTGACAGCTCGGAGCCTGGAGCCTGCTTCAGATTCTGTGTCTCCCTCTCTCTCTCGGCCCCTCCCCTTTGTACTCTGTCTCTCTGTCTCTCTCAAAAATAAACATTAAGAAAAAAATTAAAAAAAAAAGAAATCAAAGAGGGAAAAAGTAAAGCGGCATGGCATAATGGCTAAAGGAACTCAGACTGCCACTTTCTGACGTCGGGCAGATTCCTCACCTCTCTTGCCTCAGTTTTCTCAGTGTGATGACGCTGGTGTAGTGCCTACTTCGGAGCAGCTGTGAGGACTAAATAAAGCAACATACTGAAAGGCAGGATAACACGGTGGTAACAATAGCAGGTGCTGGAGTAGACTGGGTTTGAGTCCTGATTCTCATTTACTAACTTGTGGCCTTGGGCATGTTACTTAGCCTTTCTGTTACATCATTTTTTTTCATCCGTAAAGTAGGAAGAGCAGTAATATGTCTTTCGTGGATTGTAGTGAGAATTAAAGGAGCTTAGTGTTGAGTGCCTGGCACGTGGGAAGTGCTCAGTGTCAGGTACTTGTATTAGTTATTCTTACTTGTATTTTCTGTGTTTGGTCTCTACCCAACCATGTCATTGCTTTATAATTATCTTTAATGATCTTAGTAAATTGCTACTTTTTCTGGCTCTTCCATTTTCATCCTGTATTCTTCTGGATTTAGAAAACTCAACGCACCAATACCCTTATCTTTCCTATACTTCGGAATACATTATTTCACAGCATTCCAAATCAACTTTTTAAACAGCAACCAAGTAGGTTGTAAGTTCCTTCTCTCATCAGTTATTTTGCATTCATACTCTTAACACAACAAAATGTGCTCGTAAAGTCTGTATTCCTCAGTTACTACTACTCACCTGTTTTTCTTCAGTTAAACTTCTCAGATTAAATTATGAGCATTGCCTTAGAGTTAAATCTTTTAGATTATAAGCTAAACTCCTGTTTTTAGATTATAAACTAAACTCAACATAATAGCTTAATAAAGGGTATTAGTTGTGATTGATTGCTCCATTTTTTTTGTACTAGGAAATTGTCTCTAAGGGGTCAAAACATGTATTTGATGTTAACTAAACTGGTTTTTTGGGAGATCTATGGGCGTTTAGGTTACCATGTCACTTGTAAAGCCAGAGCCAACCTTAAACTGCTTAACTGGATATTTAAGCATCTGTGTAAATAGTGATTCAGTATGTTTACAGAGCTGTATTTTATTGCTTTTGATCCTGCAGGCTGTATTAGCTTGCTAGGACTGCCATAATAAAGTGCCACAGACTGAGGGGCTCAAACAGAAATGTATTTTCTCACCATCCTGGAGGCTACAAATCTGATCAAAGTGTCAGGAGGGCTGGCGTCTTCTGGGCCCCTGTTCTGGCTTGTAGGTGACTGTCTTCTCTCTGTGTCTTCAAGTGGTCTTTCCTCGGCATGTGTCTGTGTTCTAATCTCTTCTTATAAGGACACCAGTCATATTGGATGAAGGTACACCATCATGACCTCATTTTGACTTCATCATCTCTGTAAAGACAACGTCCAAATATAGTTATGTTCTGAGCTACTGGGGATGAGGACTTCAGCATGAGTTTTGGGGACACAATGCCACCCATGGCATGGGCTATGATTGTTCTCTTTACAACTTTACCTGAGTTTCTCTATCTTCATATGTTTTCCTCTGGTCAACTTGTTGCCAATAAGTGTCTCTCTTGTAGGAGTATATCAGTGCTTCCCAATGTAGTGGCCTATAACAATCGCGCTCAAGCAGAACTCAAGCTACAGAACTGGAACAGTGCTTTTCAGGATTGTGAAAAGGTGTTGGAGTTAGAACCTGGAAACTTAAAGGGTAAAAACTATTCATAGAATGCTTTAAATTTACATCAGGATTTGTTGGACCATTTGTACACACTGTAATTATACTAAGAATATTTCAAATACACTCTAATTTCTATATGTGAATCATCATCTTCATAAAGTGACTTTTAACTTCAAGTTTAACTTAGAATTTGAATTCCTGGTTATTTGTATTGAAGTAGTTAATAATGCCAGGGGTGTGAGTTTGGTAGGAGCAGAGAGAGAGGGAGGGAGACACAGAATCTGAAACAGACTCCAGGCTCTGAGCTCAAACTCACAAACCATGAGATCATGACCTGAGCCGAAGTGGGATGCTTAACCAAGTGAGCTACCCAGGCTCCCCTGTCTTTTTTTAAAATCTTCTATTTAATGTTTATTTGTTTTGACAGAGAGAGAGAGAAAATGAATGAGCGGGGGAGGGGCAGTGAGAGAGGGGGACAGAGGATCCGAAGCGGACTCTGTGCTGACAGCAGAGAGCCTAATGTGGGGCTTGAACTCACGAACCATGAGATCATGACCTGAGCAGAAGTCGGATGCTTAACCGACTAAGCCACCCAGGTGTCCCAATATTTGCCTTCTTGTTACTTACTTATCAAACTATCTTTTTATCCAAAAAATATCTAAGTGTAATTTAATACAGATTTTCTAACATTTATTAATATAATAAGCCCACACCAGAGCTCTAGAACCTTCTACCAGTGGCTTTGTGGGCATTTCCACTTATATGTCCATAGACATTTTAAATGTGTCCAAAACCAACTATATGTTTTCACCAACACCAGCACTCTGTTCTGATTTCCTGTCTCTGTGACTGCACAACTTTGCCATGGTCTAAGTCCAAGGTATACAAGTCAGACTTTGCTTTCCTTTTCTGTTATCAAGAAGCAATCACTCCACAAGGGAGTAGCATAATTTACAATAGACTCTTTCTATTTCTTTAAAAAAAAATTTTTTAATGTTTATTTTATTTTTGAGAGAGAGAGACAGAGTGTGAGCAGGGGAGGGGCTGAGAGAGAGGGTGACACAGAATCTGAAGCAGGCTCCAGGCTGTGAGCTGTCAGCACAGAGCCCGATGTGGGAGTCAAACTCATGAACCATGAGATCATGACTTGAGCCGAGTCAGACGTTTAACCGACTGAGCCATCCAGGCACCCGGACTCTATTTCTTTAAGTGTTTATGTATTTGAGTAAATATAAACACTTAATTTTTTTCACATTGAATGTAATCTTTTGTGACTGTGAACATGGGTGTGCAGAAACCAGAGGTTCATGGCTCATTCTTTTTTTTTTTTAACGTTATTTATTGTCAGGTTAGCTAACATACAGTGTATACAGTGTGCTCTTGGCTTCGGGAGTAGATTCCCATGATTCATCGCTTACATACAACACGCAGTGCTCATCCCACGTACCCTCCTTAATGCCTGTCACCCATTTTCCCCTCTCTCCTGCCCCTACCTCATCAACCCTCAGTTTGTTCTCTGTATTTAAGAGTCTCTTATGGTTTGATTCATGGCTCATTTTAAGACTAGAAGCAAATTGGTCAAATTTACATTTTAAAATAGCATATTAAGGGGCGCCTGGGTGGCGCAGTCGGTTAAGCGTCCGACTTCAACCAGGTCACGATCTCGCGGTCCGTGAGTTCGTGCCCCGCGTCAGGCTCTGGGCTGATGGCTCAGAGCCTGGAGCCTGTTTCCGACTCTGTGTCTCCTTCTCTCTCTGCCCCTCCCCCATTCATGCTCTGTCTCTCTCTGTCCCAAAAATAAATAAACGTTGAAAAAAAAAATTTTAAATAGCATATTAAAATATACCAGATATAAAATTCTTACTTTTCAAAATTTCTAAGCCTGATTCTTCTCAAAATAATAACTATCCAAAGTTCTCTCATTATACCTGGATAATGATGGGGCTATAAAGGCATTCATTATCAGTTTTAAATAGTTACCAAATTAGGGGCACCTGAGTGACTGTTGGGTAAGTGGCCGACGTCAACTCAGGTTATGATCTTGTGGTTTGTGAGTTTGAGCCCCGCGTCCGGCTCTGTGCTGACAGCTTAGAGCTGGGAGCCTGCTTCAGATCCTGTGTCTCCCTCTATCTCTGCCCCTCCTCTGCTAGCTCTCTCTCTCTCTCTCTCTCTCTCTCTCTCTCAAAAACAAATAAACATTAAAAAAAGAAAAGAAAAATATGTTCTAACCATGCTAGTGTACATTAAAAGATATAACTTTTTCTCGGTAAATTTTCAGCTCTTCTGCGCCGTGCCACTACATATAAACATCAAAACAAGCTCCAGGAAGCTATAGAAGATTTGAATAAAGTACTGAATGTTGAACCTGATAATGAGTTGGCCAAAGTAAGTACAGAAAGTGATTCCTCACCTAATTCTATTATTTCTGTATTTATGTTAAAATGATATCAGTCTTGCTGGATGAATGATGTTGAGAATTAGGTCACAGCTTTAAAAACTAGGTATATCCCAAACACCCTAAAGTGTTAATATCTATTTGAAGTGGAAGAAAGCAGGCTTTTAAATTGTCCAAAACTATAAGCCTACTTCTGAAGGATAAATATTTATTTATTTATTTAGATATATAACATTGTATAAGGTGTACATATGTTGATTAGATACATTTATGTATTGCAATATGATCACCACCTTAGCTTTAGCTAAGACCTCTGTCATATCACATAATTATTTCTCTTTTGTGGTAAGAACAATTAAGATCTAATCTCTTAGCAGCTTTGAAGTTTAGGATACAGTATTGCTGACTGTAATCTCTCTACTATGCATTAGCTCTCCAGAACTTATTTATCTACTCATTGCAAGTTTGTACCCTTAAACAACATCTCCCCAGTGTCCTTACCCCACCAGCCCCTGGTTAAAACCATTTTACTTTCTGTTTTTATGAATTTGGCTTTTGCAGATTTCACATATAAGTGATATCATACAATGGGGATATTTAATTTTTCTCTTTCCTGCAGTGTGGTAAGCAATGCTTTTCTCTGAGCCAATCTCAATTTATCATGCAGAGTGGTATGGAAGTTTCCTAGGTAGGATTAGGCACGCGCTCCATGGCCATAGAAGAGTGCATGGTAAGCATAGCACCACTGACAGTGTTTGCTGCCTGACTGAGCAGACTGATTCATATATGCACTCTGGGCTCTGTTTTGAGGCTTAAAGAGTAGAGGTAAGTGTTGAGAACAGTGAGGGGTCTGAGATTTTACCCTTCTTGCAAATTAACAAGCTAGCCTAGCAGAAGAAGCAAGACTTTTGGGTTAGACACAAAGTATTGTGTTATTCACACTATAGCAAACTGATGAGCTTCAAGTTCACGTCAGTTGCCCTGGCCCCCAAGTGCCCCAGGGAGGTGCAGAGTGGCCCAGATAGATGCTGCACACTCAGCAAGTTTATATCACAGCCAAGGAATCCCAAATTTAGGAATCCCCCATCTTTTATAGTGGAATACAAGCAAACCTATCCAAAATTCTGTTCCAGAGGGAAATATCTTTATTATACTGGAGAGCAAATATACCTCTCTCTTTTCTGAAGGGAAATACTCTCTGTTTTCCAAAGTTGTTCTCAGTACAAACATCCTCAAAAAGATAGTCCGGAACAAATGTCATTTATTGCCTCTGCTCACAACAGATTTAGAAATATGAGAAACCCATGGAGAAACTTTCAGCAGTAAGTTGTCGCTGTTTCCACATGCACCTTTTGGGTTATCTGTCTCACTCTCTCAGTAGCAGTTAATGTCCCTGGTGGATTTATCAAGTCAGCATTTCCGTGGATTAGGTTTAGGTCCCAGCTGAAAAAAATACGTCTTTTTCCCATAGTATTTCCATTTTATGGTGGTATATTTATTGAAAAGTTTGTATGACAATATTCTTAAAAATTTTTTCTTGTTTATTTATTTTGAGAGAGAGAAGGAAAGTGCATGTGAGTGGGAAAAGCAGAGAGAGAGAGGAAGAAAGAATCCTAAGCAGGCTCCATACTGTCAGCACAGAGCCCAACACGGGGTTCAATCCCACGAACTGTGAGATCACGACCTGAGCTGAAATCAAGAGTCAGACACTCAGCCAACTGAGCCACCCAGATGCCCCTCTCTAAAAAAAATTTTTAAACAAGCAGAACCACCTTTAATGTCACTACCCAATATAATTTCATATTTACATATTAACTTTCAAGACTTAACCATTTATATTTTAACTATATGCAAAGATTAACTCAAAATGGATCATATACCTCAGTGTAAAACCTAGAATATAAGAGTTCTGGAAGGAAACATAGGATAAAATTCATAAAAGAAAAAGTTGGTAAATTGGACTTCATTAAAATGTAAAACTTTTGCTCTCTGAAAGACATCATCAGAAGAAAAAACAGGACAAACCACAGACTAAGGAAAAAAAAATATTTTCAAATTGTATATCCAACAAAGGACTTGCATCACGAAAATACACATGGTCCCCAACGTACAATGTTTTGACTTACAAGTTTTTGATTTCCTAATGGTGCCAAAGTGATATGTATTCAGTACAAACTGTACTTTGAATTTTGAATTTTGAATTTTGATTTTCTTCCGAGCTAGTGATACGCTGGGCAGGGGCAGTGAGTGGCAGCTCCCAGTCAGCCATGTGGTCACACAGGGAAAGCGAGACACAACTGTTCTGTGCCCATACAGCCACTGTGTTTCTCACTTTCAGTATTCAGTAAATTACATGATGTGTTCATCACTTTATTATAAAATAGGCTTTGTGCTGGAGGATTTTGCCCAGCCATAGGGTAATATCAGTGTTCTGAGCACGTTTAAGGTGGGCTAGGCTAATAAGCTACAATGTTTGCTAAGTTAGGTGTATTAAATGCATTTTCAATTTACGATGGGCTTATTAGGACATAACCCCATTATAAGTTGAGGAAGAACTGTTAAGTTCTTCTCAAAACTCAATAACAAAGAAGCAAACAAGCAAATAATGCAGAATGATCTCTTTAATAAAGAGAAAAACAGGCAGTTATCATTAACTCCTCAAACTGAGAAGACTGAATTTAAACACGATGAGAAAACTGACCCTGGCACTGTCTTTGTGACGAATAAAAACATTTCAACTCCTTATAGTTGTGCTATCCATTTAAGTGAATGATCCTGCAGGAAGTCAATTCTGGGTCTTGTGGATGGACAACCTGGGGACATGTTTAAACCTTTGACCACATCCCAGGAAATTGAATTCCTTACTTTCAAAGATCATGGTCCAGTAGAAATGAATAAGGCTTATTAGCATTCTTGTGCCATGATGGTGAGCATTCAAAGATGAATGTGTGGTCAGTTTGGTCAGAGCTCCAGAGGTTTCTGTAATCTCTGGAGCCTTCTGCTATGATGCAGTTCTGGATAAGAGACGTGATAAGTGGATGCCAACAAAAGAGAACCTGTGTTCCTTCAGAGAAGATGCTCGTGTTTTAATTTATAAACATCTTCCATTTGAAACTCTGGAAGTGGAAACAAAAATGACATTAGAGATATTTCAACACAGCATGTATAAAATGGATTTCATAGAAGAGCAGTCATCTCAGAACCCTGAGAGAATAGTCAAGCTACACAGATTGGTCACTTCATTGATGTGAGTGAGGGTCCTTTTAGTCCAAGAACAAGTATTTGTTTCCATTAGGAAGTGGCAGCAGTTCACAATCTTCAAACCACCCAGTTGAATCTTGTATGAAGAATCCAGGGTCTGTCTTTACCTATACACTTAAGAGCACATGTTACAATATGGGATAAGTCATTGGAAAGATCTTGGAAAATGCTAACTGAAGCTCAAACTAAACCTACAGAGGAAAATGTACCGACCTAGCAACTTCCTAAAATGTAAATATGTATGGTAAATTAAAATACATATTTTCCTGTGAAAAAAATAAACTTAAAATCATACACCTACCGTATGATCTAACCATTCCACTCCTATGTATTTACCCAAGAAAAATGCAAGCATATGTCAATACAAAGATTTATGCACAGATGTTCTTAATGGCTTTTTTATTGCCAAAAATTAATAACAGCCTAAACATATTTCAATAGGTGAATGGATAAATTGTTATATCCATACTATAGACTACTACTCACAATAAAAAGGAATGAACTGATAGAGATATACAACAGTGTGGGTGAATTTCAAAATATTTATGCTGAGTAAAAAACAAAGTACATATAGTATGATTCTATTTATATAAAATCCTAGAAAATATAAACTAACCTATCATAACAAAAAGAACAGCTGATACAGGGGAGGGCCAAAAAGGAGATAGTTGAAAGAAACAGGAAGAAACTTGGGAATGATGGATATATTTATTATGGTCAAAAGCTATCAACATGTGCATTTGAAGTACACAAGTTTGTCAGCTATACCTCTGTAAGCTGTTAAAAATTGGGGGAAGGGGAGAGGG